GCTGGTATAATGTCTCCTGCTTGAGCAAGGGGTTGGACTAGAAGACCTCCAAGGTCCCTTCCAGCTTTATTCTGATTGATTGAAGATGTATAATATTTGTCCTTTGGAAATAGGAGATGTTTTCTGACTTTGCCTTTTCTGTTTTTCTGTTGCTAGATCCTTGACACAAACCTCCCAGTGTTGACACCTTATTTTGTCCAAAACCCTGAATTGTTTGGAAAGACCGGAGATGGTATGCGCGTAACTTGGCTTGGACATGCCTCGGTGTTGGTAGAAATGGATGACGTCACGTTTATTACCGACCCCATCTTCAGCCAGCGGGCTTCCCCAGTGCAGTGTCTAGGCCCTAAGCGTTTCCGAGGTCCCCCGTGCACCGTCAGCGAACTGCCCAAAATAGACGCGGTATTGATCAGCCACAACCATTACGACCACCTGGATTATCCCACCGTCGTGAGTTTAAACGCCCGTTTTGGCAGCGAGTTGAGGTGGTTTGTGCCGCTGGGCCTTTTAGACTGGATGCGGAAATACGGCTGCGAGAACGTCATCGAGCTGGACTGGTGGGGAGAAAACTGCATTCCTGGTCACGACGCCGTCACCTTTGTTTTCACTCCTGCTCAGCATTGGTGCAAACGGACCCCCATGGACGACAACAAAGTTCTTTGGGGAAGCTGGTCGGTTGTGGGTCCCCGGAACCGGTTCTTTTTCGCTGGAGATACCGGCTATTGCGTTGCCTTTGAGGAAATAGGGAAACGGTTTGGACCGTTTGATCTTGCAGCCATTCCCATCGGAGCCTACGAACCAAGGTGCGATAGCTGAAGTGTGGAGGCTGACATATCAGCCTACTGAAAATCGGTAGAGATTCTCAGTCCCCCAGGTCACAGTTGTCCCAAAGGTGCTTTTTCAGGAGGCAACTGGACTTCTCTCTTTTTTTTCCCCTTTGAAGATGTTTTGCTTCTCCTTCAAAACGCTTTAGTTTTATTTGTTTGTTTATGTATTTAGTTTATCACATGTACAAGATAACAGGTGTAAGAATGAATGTGGACAGGAACAAAGGAAATGAGTACAAATAAATGGGGACGGTAATACAGGGACAGAAGGCACGTTGCTGCGCTTATGCACGCCCGCATTATGGACCTCTTAGGAACGGGGTGAGGTCTACGCTAGATAGTTAAGATTGAAGCGGTGGGGGTTTGAGGATGTAATCACCGACAAAAGGGCGAATGACAAAAGCGCGCCCAACTAAACTCTGGTGACAAAACCGCGAGTTCTAAATCGCGCCGACAAATGAGCGCTGAAGCGCGACAACAGAACGCCGACAGAAGCGCACTGTAAACCTAACCCTAACCCTAACCCTAACCCTTACCTTAACTTAAATCGCGCTTCTGTCGGCGCTCTGTTGTCGGCGCGTTAATGACATCGCAATTTTAGCGCCACGGTTTTGTCGGCACGCTTTTGTCGTGCGTGCATTTGTCAGGTCACGCTAACGAGTCAGGTAGAAAATTCCAGACGTTGACCACTCTCTGTTGCTGATGTCGTATTTTCTGCAATCAAGTTTGGAGCGATTTACCTTCAGTTTGTATCTATTGTTTGCCTTTACAGCTCTGACTGGATGGTGGGGAATGGAAGGAATTTATATTCCTTGCAGGCAGCTGGTCATTTGCATCCTTTTGGAGAGTTGTTGAGGCCACTTGAAGGTTTTTTTCTGTGTCCTCAGAGTCACCTGAGGAGTGGGAAATTGAAATATTTGGAAGGGGAATTATATTCTGCGAGGAATATAAATCCTTCCAGTCCCCACCATCCTGCCAGAGCTGAAGAAGCTCCTTGAATGAGAAGTGAAATGTCTCCAAAGAAAAAACAAGAAAGTCCAGTTTCCTCCTAAAAAAGCACTTTTGGCACTATCGGCCTACTGATACGTTTTTAGATGCATGTAGTCCAAATCAGAGGTGGGTTTCTACCAGTTGCACCTATTCGGTAGAACCGGTTTGTCAAATCTACCGAACCGGTTAGAAGAGGTTCCACCAGTGGACCCGGAAAGCAGGCCACACCTACAGAA